CACACAATGCAATTAAAAGTAAAGTTTGGTCTTTGATGGAGAAGAAGACATAATTGTAGTTTTTTTGTACTTTCTTGAAGTTGCACTCTACAATAGCAATAGGCATTTGTCAAAAGTTTTTATTTTTTATATCTCAGATATTTGTGCATTGTATTTGAGCTTTATTCAAAGAATTTTTTGAATAATTCGTAAATGAGAGTACATAATGAAGGTAAGTTTATAATGTGACTTGAGAAAAAGAAAAAAAACTTAACAAAACTTGAAAGATTTCAAAAACTATACTCTCTATTCTTTTTAATCATGTTACCAAGCTTTATATAGCAAAATAAATGTATTTTTAGATATTTTAAAAGATTCAAAAATTAATATGTATTAGCATTGCATTGCATTTTAAAATTTCATTGTGCTTTACATTATATAATATTATATAAAAAATTATATAAAAAAAAATTATGTAATTTTTAAAATATACAAAAAATTCATTATACTTTGCATTATGAAATGAATGTATTTATAGAAATTTTAAAGTGAGTGTCTTAAGATGAAATGATTTGAATTTTTATAACTTTTTATTTTAGTAGTTAATTGTTTAAATTTAGGAAGAACATATGAAAAATCAAATGAAAGCTAATTATTGAAAGTCAGTATGACATTATATAATATTTTGGCATTGGAGAGAATTTGAAAGTTATTTGATTTTTAATTTAAGATCTTTTATTTGAGGTATTCAAATTAGCCTCAAGTCTTGTATCTTTTTGTGTTAATTGACTTACACAAGAAGTATAGGATTAGAGGTATTTCAAGGCATTATATGTAGAAGTGATTACAATGAATTTTATTCTTAAAAACTTATAATTTATTATTTTTTTTGTTTCTTTTTTTCTTTTTTACTTCAATTTTTGTATCATCCTTGTAGAATTTATTGCAAGGTAAGGAAATTCATTGTTTTGTCATCGTAAGTAATGGGCTATTATTCAAGAGTTGGGCAATCAACTTTGTTGGAAGTGGACCAATATAAGAGATAACATGCAACTCATTCAATTTGAAGGCACTTTTATTATCATTGGTAATAACATAGTGAAGGTGTAATGAAATAAGGAATTATCTAAAAATACACCAAATAATTGTTGTGAAGCAAGTGTTATTTTTTGGCTTGAATTCAATCAAGTTTACTTGATTAGACTGCGTTTACACCATCTAGATATTACTTTTACAAAGGCAAGCCAATTTCCAAACTTCTACATGTTTCCAAACTACTATAAATTATTCTTTGAGAACCATGAAATCTTAATTGTTTAATACTAAGGTGGATTCAATGGATAAAAAGACTCTCAATATATATATATATATATATATATATATTTATTTTCAATTTTTATAGTTTTATAATTTTATATTTATAATTTTATACCTTTATATTTATAGATTGAATTTATATAATAAAGTGATTTATTAAAGACATCATAATAAATTGCTTCATATCTTTTAAATTTGACTTTAATACATCTTTGAATGTCAACACACTTTTATGATTTTTTAATGTAATTCAATGTTTTTTTGAATATTTCACAAGTAATTCCTTGAAAAAATTAATTACTTTTTTTTGCAGATTATCCATGACAATGGCTACGTTTAGCTATCTTACTTTGTAGCTGAAAGCCTCATTGTTTTTTTTTCTTTTTTCTTTTTTCTTAAAAAAATTTGATAAATATTCATGGGCTCACAAACATATATTTCAAAAAAATACTTCATTTGAACCCTATTTTTTGTGATATAGACATAAAGGACCCTTCTTATCGGCCAAAATAAATAAAATAAATAAAATAAAAAAAAGTCAACAAACAGCTATGCATAACATGTAGAAAAATCTCTAGTTTACTGTATATACAACAAATCATTTTACTAGTTTTGCTAGTATGTGCATGTACATATATATATATATATATATATATACTGATTGCCTTTTTGAAACTTTAAGATGTGTATAATTTCATTTCAAAGAAAATTTTGAATTTGGTACTAAAAATAATCATGTCAGTGAAATGCAAAATATGTTTGACAATTAAAAACCAATATAAAATAAAGCAAAAATATTGTAACATAGTACATTTAGTTTTTTAAAAAACCGAAGAACGTCGTTTGAGGTTAGTGTAATCTACATGTACATTGCTGCAATTATGAATGTTTCAAGCAATATAAAATGGAATGTTACTGCTGAAATCTTTGACTTTTATTAATATCTTTTTCATTCAAGAATGTTTTGACTAGAACGAAATATTTCTTATAAATGATATTGAATAAGAATACCTAAATCTTTAATTCAAAACCAGCATATGTCTTAAATGGGTTCTTTAAGAATTGAAATAATTTTTTATTCCTTAATTTTATATTAAATTTAGAAACGTGTATAGTTTTTGAAATTATAATATTTTTGAATACGATTTAAATCGAGATTATCTTCTTTGAAAGTGAAACATAGATAATCTTTTAAAATTAATACAATTTATTAGATTATATTATATTTTAAAATGCAGGCAAGTTTGGTGCTTGTCATCTAATTACTGAAAGTTATAAATTCATTTAAATACATGATTCAAATATTATCCAACTACTTACAAAAGAAACAACATTAATTATGTGGCAAATTTTTATTTGATAATCTAACCAACAGAATGTTGTATTTAAAATGTTCATTCTTTGCACAGATAATAATACGTTAACTAATTTTGATTTATACAATTTTAAATATGTTTTTTTTTTCAAAATAGCTAATTGTAATCAAGAAATTGATTATACGTGATTTTTATTTATTTATTTATTTATTATTTTGAGTTCATAATATAATAAGAGCATTGTGAAATATAAAAATTTTTGATGAAAGAATTATTGCCATTTCAAATAATTATTTACCTTTAAGCTGTCTTCTTTAACTACAAAAATAGTACAAATTTTGTTCAATAATACACCAAATAAACACACAGATTTATAAATGTTACAATCTAATAAAGTATGATTATATATATATACCAGTTACTCTTGCAAACAGTTAGGATTGAATTTTAAGAGAGGTCAAATAATTCTACATCTTTTACAAATTGTTACAAAATTATAAATCATGTCCTTTTAATATAGAAAATAGACACTTAACCCTTTTGATACCTAATTTGTAGCTTCAGGATGTTTTTGTGCGAACTTGTTTATAGTTTTTAAACTAATAGAATTAAAATGCATATGCTTGATGTTAATCTATATCAATTTTTAAGATGTTGTTATGTAGATTATTCAAAATCTATATGACCAACAAATAATTATAAATTATTAGACATGTAAAAAATCATGTTCAAGTATAAAACATCTTACAAACAATGATGCACATTTTAGTGAACAAAAAGAATTCAAAATTTAAAATACAAGTCTAATATTACATCTTTTAATATGTTAAGCTTCTACAAATAGTTTTAATTAAAATTAATATATGAATAATATTTTGAATTAAATTCAGTAATTATAAAATACAATCATGTCAAATTATTTTATGTTTTACTGAAATTTTAGACAACTGAAAATGTATAATTTAATAAATTTGATATTTTTCATTGTAACAATTAAAATTTAAGTTTGAATGTAATAAACTGTATTTTTTATTATTTTTTTAAATTTTTGTGTGATATACTTTTTTTACCTAAATAAATAGTTATTTACCTTGAAGGTATCATTAATTGATATTTGATTAGTTTTACAGTAATTATTTTGAATCCATGCACAAATTTTCAAAACACCTATACAAATTAACTGTGGCTTAATATTAATGCCCTTTTCAGTAGTGTGTTGATTTTATTTATTTATTTATTTATTTGTATCTATTCCGAAGTCAATAACACATGCTTCTATGGATTTGAAGGAGCATGATTTGGTTTACCTACACAATGTACATTATGCAAGGGTTTGTTTAGGTACAAGTGTTCAGCGATTTGCAAATTTGTTCTACACAATAGTAAAGTAAGCTTTGTTAAAAATCTAATTTTGGTATAAATACTTTGATGGAACTTATAATCTAATTGTTTCTTTCTTCATATCCAAATATTCAAATAAAAAAATATAAATGAAAATTTCTTTCAAACTTTTTTGATTATGGTTGTTGTCACCATTATTGAAGACAGTAAGCAACCTCTCTGTAGATTTTGTATATATTGTACACCACAGCACAATGGAGATTTAAAAAATGAACCTAGCAGAGTGAATTGTAAGAAATTGAACAATATTTTTTACATTATTGACCATTTTGAAAAAAAACTTACATGTAATTACTTAAAAGTTAAAAACTATGCTATGAAGTCATAAAGTTATCTCTATATATATGTATAGGAATTCAAGAATTGTATTTATCACCACAACAATGTTAGTAATGTGAAAAATTAGTGTTTATACTAAATAAATAATAAAATTTAATTGTAAACATTACTGACCTGATTCAAGCTTTTCTGATATTTTTTACACCACCAAGTTCTATTAGTTCACTCAACTATCACCACAGCAAATATAAAAAGTAAAAGATTGCCCAACTAAAATTTAACTCAGCTCAAAGTTACGACACTACTCAAATGGTGCTTCCAGAAGCAACACTAAATATTTTTACTGTGTATCTATAAATGAAGCGAGAAATTATACTACTGAAAACCAACTAATAACTGACCAAGAAACCAATTATTTTCTCTATGACCTTCTTCGTGCACCTCGGAAAAACCAACCGTGAATGTACAGTTTCGTTCATTCATCCATACATGCACCAATCGAAGTTACATCCGCGAGACAACGAAGATTCTCCAGGCCGAAGATATTTATCCATTCGTTTAGAAGGGGGGATTATTCGCTTTTCGGGCAAACTTTTAGGCGAGCACCTTTTTTCAGGGGGGGACTTCGAAAGGAAAGGAAGCGGAAGTCTCTCAAGGGTGGAGAGAGGGGGGGGGGGGGGTACGACAGAAACCATGGCAGGAGGGAGGAGGGGGCCCTGTTGGCGAACTTGGGGCCGCCATAGCCGTCGTGGACCTCTGTTGCATTCTCACCCTCCCTCGTTGCAGCTCCACGCCTTGCGCCACTTTTTCCTCCTTCTTCTCCTCCACCTCCTCCTCTACCACTCCCTCCTCTTCACCTCTTGCTGCTGCTGCTGCTTCCTCTATGCTCATTTCCATAATTCTTCGCCCTTCGTTTCCTTGGAGTGGGCGCGGGTGCAACGGGGAGCTGTGGCGTTAGTGGGATAGCAAGGTGCTTTGCTTTGATGCGTGCTGTGTTTCGAGGCTTGTCGGCGGCGGTGGGAGTTGCGGAGGCCATCGGAGGAGAAGCTGGAGCGTGCATTGATTAGGTTCCGTGGTGTGGTGATCATTTCCCATACTTGGTGTTGGTTTGGGACGGGGTCGTGAACGTGTTTGTTGTTTCTGGAAGGGGCAGGTCGGTTAGGGTTTGTAGCAACATGCGGGTGAAAAGGAGAGTGGTCATCCTTGGGCATGAGCAAAGTGGCGTCCAGGAAGGGGAATTTCGTGCATGAAAATGCGCGTGTAAGGGTATCGTTCGTTTAGAGAGTGTTTGTATGAGGTTGGCGGAGTTTGTGATGGCTTTTGTGCATTAGAGAGGGTTTCTGGCACTCGCAGTGTTGCAGCCGGTCGAGGCGGTCGCTGCTCAGGCTGTGAAGTTGCATTTGACGAAGATAGAGTCTGATAATGTGCCCCAAGACCTGGGCGGGGGCAGCATGGGAAGCACAGAGGAGCTTGAGCGCAAACGGCGCCACCTCAACCACCACCACCATCCTGTATCCCCGCCGCTCAAAAAGCCGGCTATTACTTCCGTCTCAGATGAGAAGAAGGTACTTTTTGTGGATTACGCGACATGCATACAAGGGTATAATCTTAATATTTTCCTTTTTTTTTGGGGGGGGGGGAGAACTCTCACGGTTCTGTTTCGGGTACAATACGCGTACGCCGGTACAATTCTTTACCACCTTTCATAAAGTTGACTAGCGATCTAGCAGAAAGAAATCGAAGGTGAAAATAACACAGCTGCGGTTTACAGAAGGATTTTCTACACCTCCATTCTTTTGGAAAATTATCACTGTTGCTGATTTTTGATTCCTCTGCATAGCGACATTACAGAATGAATTTCAGTTTAAGAATGGCGGGTTAACGCTGAGTGAGTGGGCGCTGATCCAGTTTCAGAGTAGGACGGGTCTGTTGATAGAGAGCCGAGTGAAAAATCTTGAGAGCTTTTTTTCACCATGAACACTTTTAGTTACGTTAAAGACGTGAATCACAAATTTTGTGCACACAAACGATTCAACCCATGATAAGGGACTTGCTACATTCTTCACAGCAGGCGTTGATAATCCTAGTTAGGCACGGCTAACTATATTTGTCAAGCACAGACGAGCATTTTAAGAACTATCTGAGTTTAGGGTTATTTAAAGAACTTCTGATACATGCAGCACCAGGACTTCCACACTTGCCCTAAAAGTGGTGTATATTGATTTACTTAAGATACTCTACGCGTGATGACAATTCTGTATTTATTACAACTTTTAGGTCTAGTACGCTGTTAAATCGGTGTGTGTGTGTGTGGTGAAAGAAAAGAAAAAAAATGAAAAACTTACAAGTTGAAAACTCTTGCAGGCGGATGCAGGAATGCTCCAGTTTCAGAATCAGAAGTTGGCACAGCAGCTGGATCACCAGCGTTCAGAGATTAGTTCTTTGGAGAACAGGTGTTGTCAGTTGAAGGGCAAGCAGGCTTCTTACGACGACACTCTAATCACTGTGAACCGTACATGGAATCTGGTTCGTGCTAATTTTTCTCTCCGTTCCCGACGTTTTAGATGAGTAGTTGCTTATACGAAAGGATTTGTTTGGGTCAAGCATTTGCAGTTCAGCTCTCTCAGTAATGATAGGAGACAAAAAAAGAAAAAAAAGAAAAAGAAAAAGAAAAGGTGCATTTAGCAACACAGCAACGCTCCCCGTAAATGTGGCGAATTCGTGATTATGTTGAATGCATCAATTTTTCATTTCATTATTTCATGCAGCCCGCACATGCTTTCAGGTAAGAAGTAGCAGTTGTGTACTCGAAAGCTAGATTACTTTGAAGATTTTGTCTGCATTTGGAGGTACACTTGTATTGAATACCTGGGAGGTGACCTACAGCTTGAGGACGACTTAGAGTTGCTTGCAGTGCGCGCAAACGCCAACACGAATGGCTTGCGAGTGCTTGAACCTGTGCCGACGAATAAGGGTATACTTTTTTCGAAATCTCATTTTTGTTTGCCTGTGAATGAGAGAAATGCTGTAATCCTTTTTGTTTGCTTGTTATTTATCTTTCGCCGTCATCGTGAAAAACAAGGTTCATCGTTATCCTCGTGACAAATCGCCAGAAAATGGATAGTAGGTTGAAATTGGGAATGTGGAACTGTTTGAAGTGCTTGGAACGCGCCGTGTAGTAATATTTTGTTTATTTGCAGTGACACGTTGGCGATGTACTTCAATTCAGTCTAGTCCTCAACTACAGAAGATTGCTATGATCAATTCAACGGCTTATGTTCAACTAAAGTGTCTTTAAACTAAAGCAATCTCCTGAATCTCACGCGGTCATTGTGTTTTGCAGATAGGGCAGGTCCGGCTGTTCCGCCTGAAGAGACTTTCCTGCAGAGGCTCTTGGATAAAGGGGCTACTGAGAGTAGTAATTGTGAAGGAAGTATTAGTCTGTCTGCAGTGGAGGCTGGGCTAGCTTCTAGAAAGGCTGCGACTATGAAGACCATGAAATATCTCCTGCTAGCTATTGAAACTCAACGGTCAAAGAATGACGAACTTGCAATGTCCTTGCAAAATATTGTGAGTCCTCACGGTAAGTTCGCGTCCGACTCTTGAGCTAGTGGATATGGTGGTTTTTAGAACTCCGATTACCGTGGTTCTAAGTCACTAGTGCTGGACTTTGTAGATGGAGTTTTCGATGTTCTTTGTATTTAGTTAGAATTTTCTTTATTTACATTCAGCATCTCTCCCTGGGGCTTTTTTGCCTTCTTTCTTGCCTAGCCTCTTATTCTACAGGTGAGTTCGGATCCGATTATGTTTCAACACCAAATATCTTATGGTCGTTGCCTGTCTCCTCTCGTGGAAGAAAATCACCCATGCGGATCCTATTTACAGGATACTGTAACTTATTATGTCATATTTTCGGCAGATCTAATAGTCATCGGCATTGCTGTTGGCGGTTGTTCAATTAGTTACTACCTCCTAGGGCGACGAGTTGAGCTAGCTTCTGCTTTAGAAATTTGACTATGAATCTGCCTTTTATGAATATACAATTGCACTTTGAGCAGTGTTGGAAGTTAACTTGCTCTTCGGATTATGATATGTAACAGAAGCAGGACGAATATTGGAGGAATCAAATGATGAGTTACGTATGGAAATAACAAATATACGTGGTGTTATGGATTTATTGCAATTGAATCACAAAGAAATGTCGGCTGAAATTGGGATTGCTCGGGACCTTCAAACCAAAGACCAATCTGACATCAAACGCCTAACTGGTACGTATTTGCTTCATTTGTTCCTGTTGATTAACGAAGTGTTATCATATAACTTTACAACTTCATGGTGGACATCTCTCATGACGATTATCTCTACATATTGGCTTGAGGCTAAGTAGGATCCATAGAGCGTGGATTCTCAAGTAGTAGAACCCCTATATTTCCCTTAATACTGGCTTTTATGGTATCTGGAGCTTCTCAGGATGAAACTTGGAGTTGTACCTCAGTGTCATTGTCTTTGATTACAGTTTTGTTTGTTTCTACCCTAATGTTGTATTGTGCGTAATCTCGGTGATGTAGGGGAACTGGAGGAGACAGCAGCTGATCTGGAAATGTGTCGGCGGAAGCTAGCAACACTTCGCAGTCAAAAGGAAGCTGCAGCTGTTGCACCGCCTACTGTAGGTACACCTAAGCTAGGTGTCAAGAATGAGGTTGGAGATCGAGTTCCAGGCGCAGATAAAGCTTCAAGAGAGGCTCGTGAGCTGGAAGCTGCTTTAGAAGAAACAAAGGTGCAGCTTGTGCTCCTGCTTGTTAGTAGTATTATATTTGTAGCTCATACCTGTAAATCTATATGACAATGCCTATCTTATTCAAGTTAGAGATCTGTTATTGAATGAAATCCCTTTTACTCGTGTAGATTTTCTTAATTTGTCTGCACCATCTCTGTCTTTTTATAGTTTCCTGTTTACTCACGTGTTGATTGTAAGCTGGATGCGTTTAGTAGGCTGCCTTATAGTTGTGTTTTCTATCGCATATAGGATCCTTAGCTAATTGTGGATATGCTGGTGTGTTTTGTATGCAGACATTGGCGTCGATAAGGTTAAATGAGCTACAAGATGCGTTGCAAACGCAACTGAACCTCTCACAGCGGTTGCAACACATGAAGGTAAGTTTGACTTCCTTTGTGCTCTCAGTCTATGGATCCTATATCGTAGTTGGCTTTGGTTTTCCCAGGATTTGAATGCATTGAAATTCATACGATCTAAATTTGCACTGTTCTCTTAGTAGGCATTTTCGCTAATAGTTGTGGACCTATTTGATTTTTCACCTAATCTAACTTTGTCTCCTGGACCTGGTTATGGTCGTTACAGGATGCGCTGCATGATGAGCACAGGATCTTGTCATCTCGTCCCTATTTATTACTCAACGACCAAGCTCAGTTTTTAAAGGGTGAGGTCGAGCGCTATCGAGGTCTGGCCGACAAGCTTCAGGTATTTTCTAGATACGATTCCCTATCTTTGCGATTTCATCACCTAGCAGTTCATATTTCCTACTGTATATTTAATGATCAACGCAGTCCTTTTATGGCATGTCAGCCTCAATGCTAGCTTCAAATTTTGCAGAGTGATCGTGACGCAATGTCCCGAAGAGAGAAAGAGGTTTTATTGAAGGCGGAGGCTGGTGAAGCAGCCCGTAAGGCAAGTGCCATTGCTGATGCAAGAGCTGCAGAAATAGAGACTAAACTTCAAGAGTGCTTGGCAGATCGGGACGTTTTGCAATTCAGATTAGAGGAAGTCGGTCAATCTTCAGGTAGAATAGCTGACATCTATTTTTCTGTGCTTTAAGGCTTGTACGGTGTTGTATTTCTGGACGCTGAACTTGATTTTATGCACTTATTTTCATTGAAAATGGAAAGGCTATACATCCCTTTTGTTCGTAACTTGTCTTCAAATTCGTCTGTAGGAAGGAAAGATTCAGTGCCTGAATTACAGGTGATGATCTCCACATTGCACAAGGAGATGGGCATGATGCAGGCACAATTAAATAAATTCAAGGAAGCCGCTTGCGAGGTTCAGTCTCTTCGTGCAGAGATACACTCCTTGGCTGGTATCCTTGAAAGAAAGGTATGGGACAACCATGTACGTTTGGGTGCATTATAGTAGGAATCTGATTCAGAATTGCCGTTATGGATTATTGAACAAGTCAGTTAGGCGGAAAGAAATGGAGATCACCCTTCTTCCTTTTTTTAAAATAATAATAATAATAATTATTATTATTATTTTCTTCTTCTTCTTCTTCTTCCTCCTCTTTTTAGGTGCGTCGTTCATTTCAAAAGTCCTTGAGCAGAATCGATGTTGTTGTCATGATAGATTTTATGCCAATCGGGCGAACTTCTTCTCAGTCACCTCCGAGTTTCTTTCTTTACCTGATCCTAAATATGTTATGCTTTGCAGACATTGGAATGCACACGCTTGTCAGATCAATATGTCTCCCAAGTTGCTGATTTGATAGCCTTGAAATCTGAGGTTTGTCAGGGACTGGGTGTCGGACATTGTACGACTTGTGATTTTAAACTTGTGTTGTTAAAATGATTGCATGTCTGAGTTATTATTTTGTGTTTCTCTATCTTGCATTGCAAACTATCAAACCTGTTTCTCACTTTCATTTACGATTTAGTTGACAATTTGATGCTGGATGTATGTAATATGTATTTATCTCTCCTACATAGTCTTGCATATTACTTCTCTGCAAATACCTTGACGTTGCATCAGACAAGTAGGGATGGACAGATAGGTCTTTTTTTTGCTTATATTGCACAATTTTCTCTGAATTGTTCAATTCTATGCAGGTGGAAATTTTGAGACAAAGTGATCAAGAACTGCAGCTTATTCTGGAAATGTATGAGAGAGAGTCGACTGGTCCAAGGTGTGTTACAGGATTTATTCAGGCTGGAATTGAAGGGATGCTGGGTTTCATCACAGCCTTGCTACTCTTGTTTTCTCTCTTTTTGAAACATTTATTTTTAGACATCTACTACAAAGTTGCAGGAGCTTAGTGACATGTGAATGATTATTGGGAGTGGGTATGTAGGAATATGATGGAGTTGCAGCAGGATCATAGCAGAACATTAGTGCAAGTTGAGCGCTTGAAGAGAGCACTGGATGAACACAACTTAGAGCTTCGGGTGAAAGCTGCCAACGAGGTCAAGGCTGCATGTGAACAAAGACTTGCAGCTGCTGAAACTGAGATTTCTGAGCATCGGCAGAGGCTAGACGATTCCGAAAGGTTTGTTCTTTGTCCTTCGGATATCAGTTACGACAATGCCGTGTCTTCTTTTCTTTTCTTTTCTTCGTTTATTTTTTTTCGCCCTATTGATGTGGTGTGTGCGGTGTATTGTGTGCTTACTCCTGCTCTGATTATAGCTATGTTGTCCTTGCTGTTGGTTCTCCTTTGACTGTTTCATTATTTGTTTAGAGAAGTTGTTTTATTCAGGTTTAAACAGTGAAGCACACGCTATTTGGAAGTTAGTGTCACATCCTTCGAATCTGGCAGTAACCTCTTTCTTTAAAAGGGTTGCTGTGTTACAGGCTTCCGTGATCAGATGCTTATTGTTGAATACCAGAATATATTCATCTACAATTTGTGGGGATGTGTCGATTCATGAAAATTCTATTTTTTACAGGGTTGTGATGGAACTCAAGGAGACGTTAAAATCCAAGAGTGAGGAAGGGGACACATACATCGCTGAAATTGAGGTTTGTTGGATGTTTCTCATGTTAAAACTCTTCAGAGAATTTGAATTGTTAAGCTCTCCTGATTCTGAATGATTTGGAAATTTACTCCGTGTATTGTTTGACTGAGCAGACTATCGGTCAAGCATACGAGGAGATGCAAACACAAAATTCTCGATTAATTCATCAAATCACTGAACGCGATGATTACAATACCCAGGTATTTTTGGTAGCTATTGTACATTTGAGTTTTTTAGGTGCCATCACCATACTTAGGTATGAGTTTTAAAATGTTAGGCTTTTGGGTGAAATGTAAACGTATGATTTAGGAGATGCAATTTTTTTCGTTTGCGAAGGGTCCAGACGCAGGTGGTTAGGAGAATGCTTGAGGTTGCAGGTAGCACGAGTATACAGATGTCCCTTGCCATTAGGACTGGGCAGGGACTATTAATGCCACCAATGTGGAGCGTGTAGGAAAATATGCGACAGTACTGGGAGTTGTAGGAACGTGTACTTTAGAGTTTAGGGGGCTTTTCCAATTTTGTTATGCGGATTTAAATTTATATGAACGACATCTAAGTTGTTTTTTTTTGTTTTGTTTTGTTTTGTTTTTTTTTTTTTTTTTCCATATAATCACCAGCTTGTGGCAGAGAGTCTGAAGGCTAAACAGCTGCAGGCCTCTCTTCAGTCAGAGAAGCAAATATTGGCTAGTCGTGTGCAGCATGCAAATGCTACTGCTGAGCATCACAAGCAGCGTGTAAGCCGATTAGAAGATCAGGTATGATCTCTCAATGATCCGACCAGATTGTATGTGAAATTTTTTGTAGCAATTAATTCTTGAAATTTTTCTGGGTATGAAGAACCTTAGGTTTTTGAAAAGCTTTCCAGTGATTAGCGACCAGATCTATCTCAGCCAACATTTTATAGCATTTTAATTTTGTCCAAGTTGTATAATACGAAAGTTGTCAGCTGTCAGACGACCGTCACAGTGTGATAAATGTGGTACTAGATGTTTTCAGGTTTGGCTATATTTCAACATGATGGGTTTGGGTGTATTGTGCAGGCCAGATCATACATAGAGCAAATAGGCAAGGTCATGGACAATGGCAGGCAACACACATTATCCATGGAGACTCTCAGACGAAAGACGGCTGAAACTGAGAAAGAACTTCTCTCTGTAAAGACGTCACTAGAAGCTACAAACAAAAGGATTGAAGATCGTGGTCACAAACTCGCTGAAGCTCAACAGCAGCTTGACAAAGAAAGGTGAGTCGTAGCATGTGGTGTCGAGCCACTTATTGCATGTACTAAATATTTATTTGAGCTATGACCTTGTGTTAGACCGGAGCTATTATTGTGGAAAATGTGAGGCGCGTGATATTGTGCAGCCATTTTTTGAATAAAAATCTTGTTAAGAACTCTTACAAAACTAGTAATCTAAAACATTCGTTTCATGCGTTTCAGATTTGAGAAACGAAGGGTTCAGGATGAGCTGGAGGCGCTGAACAATAAGTTGTCACGGTTGCGATCACATCATGAGAGAGGCCCTGCTATAGAAAGGCTTCAGGAGGATATAAAAGAATATAAAGCTATTCTGAAGTGTAGCGTCTGTCATGACCGTGCAAAAGATGTAAGTATTTTTACACCTTTTTCGTGGATAGATCGTAGACTGCAGACACTTTGTTATTTCAATTTGTCAAGACTTGTCGTGCAAAGTTGACTATTTCAAGGTTTGATCCAACTTCTATCCTGATTGCAGGTCGTCATCACAAAATGCTTCCATTTATTTTGCGGCCCCTGTATCCAGAGGAACTTGGAGATCAGACATCGAAAATGTCCTGCTTGCGGGATAGCATTTGGCCAGAGTGATGTTCGAACTGTCAGCATCTAGTAAGAAACTGCCATTTAATTGATATGGTCTAATCGCTGTTGTCTTCATTCCCCTCTCTACTTTGAAGGTGGGTATCATTCATGACGCTCATTTTCAAGGATAGATTTGTACACGCTGTTAGATTAGATTTGAATTTGGAAGAACACACGAATTTGTTACCAGGCCTGTTTCAAGTGAAATATTTCAGTTTCCTTCAACAGGCATGTAAAGTCTTAGTCGTAGGGATGTCGTAGTTTTTTTCAGGTCCTCGGTTTATTTTGTTGTTTCTTTCTGGAATTATAAGACTGGTTCAGTCTGAAATCTTTGATGCTCACTTCTCTCCAGCTTTACCAGGATTTTCCTCTCCTGATCCTTGTAGCAATTTCGAATTTTCCGTATAGTTCTCATCTGGCAGGAAGTGGACAGAGTTGAGAAGGGTTTAAAGGGATTATCAGGGGTTCAAAGCCTACACCTCTTTACACTATGTTCTCATCAGGCAAGGTACATATTTAAGCTCTACCATTGAAAGGTTTACTCTGGCTAGACATTCTGTTAGCGCATCCTAATAGCAGGTAACATGCGAGAATGTCCAGGTCATCGCCAGTGATGGTTCTTGCTGCCACATGGAATCTCACTGGATGAATAGATGATTAGAAGCTGTGGCTGAATATCTTCCGTCTCAAAATCAGGGAACTCTAAGTGCTTCACATCAAAACAAAGGGGTGTGGTACTCAATGTTACAGTACATCATCAACATTGAAACATACCTTAACATTGTACATACTAAATATGCGTTTTTACATAGCATCTTGAGACTTGGATTCCCTGGTAACTATGCATTGGACGCGGCACCCCATTGTCCGTGATGAAGATCACAATGCAATTTCTTAGTGTGATTATGGTCGTGTCGATTTACAACAGCAGTGCTTGTCGGTTCAAACTCAATCTGAGCTTTCACACAGTTAGCCTCCCGGACCCGATCTCATCATCGAGGTGCCACAGTCTGGTCAGATTCTGCAAAGTGGGTGACGCACCCCGGTGCTTTCATGAATCTGTATCCGAAATCTACAGAAGAAATGCCGAAACTTGGTTGAAGACAGCATCCACCTGTGTAATGCATAATTATGCCATGCATTTGTGGAGATGCTTGAAGACCCTTCTAGAACAGATAGAGCTCAACCTCGAGACCCATCTGGTGAGCGTAGAGGCCTTACATGCAGTATCTGGTGGATCATAATCTAAAAGTTTCAAGGCCCCGTTTGCATGCATGAATCTATCGATCCATTCCTCTTCACGCTGCCTCTGACCTTCTCACAGACACCACCTTAATACAAACGAATTCACATGGACTGCACCTTATTCAAAACATGTTTCCTGTCCACTTCTCATTTCAAGAGGGCCAATGTAGAGCTTTCTAGATTCAAGGAGGAAGTGACTGGAGTAAACGACCCGAAAGAACTCAAGGTTTGTTGAAATGCGTGCTGTGACTCTTGAGAACGCGCAGAAGCTTTGTAAGAACAGAGAAGGATACTGCAGAAAGTTGAAGAACAACATCACGAGGTTCCGGAATTGAAAAGTGCGCGCAGTCTATAGAAACTTGTGTTTGTGTCGATGGGGTCTCAAACTTAACATGGTGCCCACATCCATGTATACACAGCGAGATGACACCCACAAGTTTACATTCAATGAGATAATTGTGATTGTCATGAGACAATCAGCTTGAAGGTGAGCTGGGCGTGGGATGTGGATATGGCGTTCCTTCTCCAGATTCGCTTCAGTCAAGCGTGCCGCAAGTGAGTCAGTACATTGTTGCAGTGAAGTATTCGATGCTTACATTCATTACCTGGCTCTACTTTTCGAAAATGGATCAGATTTTGATTGCAGATTCAACGTGACAAAAAGGGATGTTTTTGCAGAAAGACGCGACTTGAACTCGGTTCACCGGTCTCAATAATATTAGTTAAAAGTGTAAATCGTTCACTAGAGGCTTTCAGTGGTTCCCTCTGATGTGATCCATGGACTTGTGTTCGAGTTTCATGTCATGTAGAGTTCACAGAACTAACATTATGTTTTCAAAGCAGTCGTTGGTGACCTAAGTTTAATGACTTGTTGCATTAAATGTGCTTCTTGTGTCCAATTCTTTTAGTGGAGTTTCTATGGCAACTCGTAGTTGTTGAAACAATAATGACAATGAGATCAGGATCACTAGCCAAAGTTGGACGGGGGCATTCAAAACTCCGACTCAATGTCCACCCTATCAACATTCAGCGTTTTGAAAATCTTCGTCAACATTGAAAGCCTGTAATGCTTCACCCCACTCCTGATGGAAACATCAATTGTAGACCACATCCTCAGATTCCTTTTATGGTTAAAATTTTGCCTGACAAGACGACTTTTGGGAAATGATAAACATTACACAGTTGACATTTAAACGACGATTCATCGCAAGATAGTCCAATGGGTTGAGATAACACAAACACACCCACATTCAGAGGTTACCAGAGCTATAAATGTATCTTCCGAGGGTACAATGTCAAAAGTGTGAGCAAGATCATCCAGATCATCTAATCTCAACTAGTTTAGCTTCTATATCGAATAACTCGGTAGGCAAATAAGGAAACGACAGAAAATTCTGATGGCAACTAGATAATGCCCAACATTGGAAGGAAAGGGACACACTTCCATATTCATGGTAGCTGGTGGAAAAAGACAGAGAGTCCAGTCACCTGGTGGTTCATGGAACAGGTAGGAGTGTTGTTATTCGTCCAATTGCAGATATTTAACACCAAATCAGTTAATCCTTCCTATTTCAGAAGTTAGTTTATTCTGAAGCAGAAAAGGGTTATTCGTTTGATTCGGAAAACTGAGAAAATAACAGAAGTGCAGATACCACCACTGTTTACACACTGCAGGTGTTGAGCAAAATGCAGAGACCGCGATGCCGCGGAGCCATGAACTCATGAAGCGGTATCGAGGATTAGTTGGCTCTTCAACCTTGCAAGCTGTTGAAGTTCGGACCTGGTCACTCCAGGAGTTGATCGAATGACCAACTTCAACGTATCTACTGCAACGAGCTTGGTGTTGTATTCCTTCTTCCAGACTCGATACGTTTTAGTTTAGTATTCTCGAAGTCTGTGGGATGCGTCGGAGGTCAATCACTAGTTTACGATACGCTGTAGCTCAGTCATACAGCAAATGCGAAATTCCTCAGCAACAAGGAATAAGGAACAACTTACTGCAGGTTCTTTGTCTGTCAGCCGATGAAGTAGTTCAGCTTTGTTCTGATGCACGTGGATGAGTATATTGGAAGCAGGAGAACACAAGACAAGCAGAGCTAAATGGTGATCTTCAGTTCGGCGACTTTCACTGTGTGAAAGGTACCAACTCTGCAGCAATTGCAGAAGGCAACGCCTTGTGAAACGTATTAGATCAATCTTTCCCCGAAGCGTCTCCATTTAAGTTTCCTAATCTCCCTTCAAGTCATTGGATTGCTGATCGTCGACATCTGTGAACATTTCTAACCACAATGTTGACGAATCTGCGACTGATGATGCGTAGCGGCGCAGTTTTGACTGCTCTGGACTGATTCACCCAACTTCACACGATCTGATCAACTCTCTCTCTCTCTCTCTCTCTCTCTCTATATATATATATATATATATATTTGTGTGTGTTTGTGGATCGCATCTACTGCAGCAACATCCCAGCTCATCTTTCCAGACATCTTTTCATTTCTTTTTCCAAAACAGTGGATTATATCGTTGTTTTCTGCTACAAGCAGTGCCGAATATGGAGCCTTAGGCGAGTGGATCTGGAATCGGGAAGTAAGTCCTTTCGTTGTGGGAATGAGCTCGAATCTTCTCATGTTTCGAATTCCATCACATTTTCGTGATAATGTGGACAGTCCACTACTGTGAGTTTATTGTGATGTCGATAGCAGACTGTTTTTATCGTTGGTAGCATCTTGTTATTAGAATGACTTGGAACTTTTTTCGATATTACAATTATTCTGATTATCTAAATAAATTTAAATAATTTATTTTCACATTAACATTTGCAATTTGAAAATTTGTGCATGTAAAGAAGCAAGATCACTTACAAAAATTTAGTTTGATGAAACCAATGACACTAATTTTGAAAATTGATGTGTTTTGACATAAATTAAATTATTGGCTTCTTCTTAAGTATATAAGCATATTTAAATGCTTTGAATTTTTCAAGGTTTATTTAACGTGTGTGATTTATAGATATTGTTTATTTATTATAATTTCTCCTTTTTTTTGTAAATAAATTTTTAATCTTATTTCAAGAAACTTGAAGTTACATGTGGAGATAATAGAAGTAGAGCATATTATGAAATAACTACATTTAAAAAATGAACCAGTATATTTATAAAATCTCAAATAATTTCTTCCCTGTGACATCATTTATAATGGCAATTATTTTTTAAAAAAAATATTATACAATTTTTATTTTTATTTTCGTGTGTACAATTTCTAATGTTGGTAATAACACCTTTTAATATATTTTTATTAAAAATATATATAATTACGACTGTATAAAACATTCAACTTCAATAAAACTAAGTCACTTATAGAGTGGTTTTTAGTTCTTTCATTTCCAAAATTTATTAAAAATAACTTAAACTCAGCTGGATTATATAATTTAATTATAAACATCTTGAGCTATAATTGTCATTAGAAGCAGTTTACAGTAAGATTAAGGGGTCTCTAATCTATTTGATATTTTTGTTCTGATATTTTGATTTCATCAATAATTGTCTAATATCAATCAAAATATTTCAAGTTTTGTGAGTACTTGAATTAATAAAGTTGCACTTTTTAGTCAAAATTTTAAAAGAATTATGTGCATAATAAGAAAAATAAAAATAAATAAAGATACGTTTCTATTGTAAAAAAAAATATCATTTAAGTACAAAGTTACACATGAATTAAAGCATAAGAAACAAGAAAACATGGATGTTTGGTGGTAACAAGAACTATGTTGTTAAACAACACAACATCAAAAGGATATTCTGTGGTATTGTTTGCTCTATATGTCAATAAAAAAATAAAAAAATCACTACTCATTGTGTGTTAAATATTACATGAAAAGACTTACTATTCCACACTTTTCTTCGTAGTCAAATTTGAATGTTAACAACATTTTAAATCATGATTAAAGACATGGAACAGAATTTTATTCTTCTAAAATTTGTGGAAATACTCCTGAAAGACCCAAAATATTAGTTATCATCAAAAATAATAATAATAGAAATTATAAAATAAGTAAAATATTCCAATCATTTTATTTATTTATTTGTAAGGGCGAATACAATCCTGATGAAGCCTCCCCCTCGAAAGCCCAAGTGTCTGATAAAGCGTCTCCGAGTGAAGTTCTGATAAGCCCCTAGATCCTGATAAGGCTGTGGGTCCGCGTCCCGAGTGAAGTCCTGGTAAGCCCCTAGATTCTTATAAGGTTGTGCGTCCGCGTTGCCAGCGGTGGCGGAGATCGCCGAAGCAAAACGGTCCGTCGCGACGAGAGGCCGTCTTTCGGGGCAAGCACCGGAGATGATCGAAGACCATGAGAAACAAGTCCATACATCCGTCATTCGAGATTCTACAGTGGAGGAGAAAGCCAAAAATTAACATATTAAAACACACACACACACACACACACACATGAACAAACAAACAAACGAAGCAGCAGGAGCAGAAGAAGAAAAAGCCAAAACACCCCTCGTGAAGCAAAGCGGTGCGTGATGGTGGGCGCCCACAAC